GTTGGAGGTTGCTGTGAGCGTGATGCCATGGCACTCTATCCAGGGGGATAGCTTGAGGCTCCGTCTCAAAAAAAAAAGAACCACAGATAAGCCATCTCACACGTGCAATAAGCTTTCTCTGTTTGGTAGGATGTCAGAATAGAAGACTTTGGAGATTGTTTCTAACTCTAGGATTCTTGATAATTGTGTTGTGGTTCTGTGTTGTATCTAATATTACAGATGTTATATACCTGTACTCCCAAGGGGATGGCCATCAATAACCATATACATACTAGTTATGGATGTGGTTTTTTTTTTCTTTTTCTTTTTCTTTTTGCAGGTTTTTTTTTTTTTTGGCTAGGGCTGTGTTTGAACCTGCCACCTCTGGTATATAGGGCCAGTGCTCTACTCCTTTGAGCCAGAGGCACCACCCAGTGTTTTTTTTTCTTATATTTGTTATCTCCCCTGTTCAGGGTTAGTGTGTGTCTGCTGCTACTTCAAGTTGGTTTCCCACTGCAAGTCTTCTGCTGACAGAAAGCCTCATGCTTTGTGCTGAGGAACTCTGTACCGGAAGAGCAGGCTCCATCTCATTTAATATTAATTTAGGGCAGAAAATGGTTATATACCAGACACCCAGGAGGCTATATCCTCAAAGAGTGATAAGCACTTTCAGCTCTGATGCTTCCTACCAAGCAGCCTTGAATCAGCTGATGCTCTGGAGTCAGCCCTCTGGGACTACTCTTATTCCAAAACTCCTAGCCTGCTCCACATGCCTCATGTTAGATGGGTGGTGCAGATGCCAGTGCTGTGAGAGTGACAGTATTGCTCCAGATTGACTATATCTAAGGAAATGGTATCTTTCCTCAATACTGTATGGCGTATGTCTCTAACAGCACAACTGGTTTGCTTTTCTCTGAACTTGGGAATATCGGGATGCCAAGAGTAGATTCTCAGCCACTGTCCTGCAGCTTCTTTCCATTTCCCTTCCAATATTCTTCTTGCCACTCTCCTAATACAGTCGACACTGATTTGTCTTAAAACAGCCTGCCTGCTTTTGTCCCAGGAGCAAATAGTCACTTCACTTCCTAGAATTATCTCAATTCTGTCAGGTTTACAGATTAATTTTTTTTAAGAGATGGGATCTCACTGTGAGTTGAGAGGGATCTCACTGTTGCCCAGCCTGGGGTGCAGTGGCTATTCAAAGGCACAAAAATAGTGCACTACAGCCTTGAACTCCTGGCTTCAAGCAGTCCTCCTCCTGCCTAAGCCTCCTGAATAGCTGGGACTACAGATGTGTGGCACCACAGCCAGCACTGCTTGGTCTTTTTTCTTTTTGCTGCACAAATAGCCAGGGCCTGCTTCTGTGCTTGGGCATCTTGATCGGAGGGCAGACAAGTCAGCATAAAATGAGCACGCCCTCCCTAATGGCTTAATACCTGTACCCTCAGAAACTCTTCGTGTACATGTGTGTTTTGGGGTGCTTAGTCATCCAGCGATGGCCTTAGCCACATCTCCAAAATGGATTCTGGAGCTCTGTAGGCCTCCATGAGGTTTAAGTTTAGGGAGGGTTTTTTTTCTGTCATATATTCTGATTATAAAAGTAAAATATTCTTGTCTGTGGCTCAAGGAGTAGGGCACCAGCCCCATATACTAGAGGTGGTGGATTCAAGCCTGGCCTTGGCCAAAACTGCAAAAAAAAAGAAAAAAAAAAAAACCAGTAAAATATTCTCATTGTTAATTAGGTAAAGTTAAAAAGTGGAAAGTTCTTTCCTGTCCCCCAGTCCTACTCCTTCTCTTCTAGCTTGGCATCATGGTGGGTGCCTATAGTCCCAGCTACATAGGAGGCTGAGACAGGAGGATTACTTGAGCCCAGAAGTTTGAGTCCAGCCTGAACAACATAGTGAGAGGCTCATCTCAAAAAAAAAAAAAAAATTAGGCTCAGCACCTGTGGCTCAAGTGGGTAAAGTGCCAGCCACATACACCTAAGGTGGTGGGTTTGAATCCAGCCTGGGCCCACCAAACAACAATGACATCTGCAAGCAAAAAATAGGCAGGCGGGCTCGGCGCCTATAGCTCAACTGGCTAAGGCGCCAGCCACGTACACCTACGGTGGCGGGTTCGAATCCCCAGCCCGGACCCGCCAAACAACAATGACGGCTGCAACCAAAAAATAGCCGGGCGTTGTGG